TCATGAGAGCCCAAGGTAAATGACCTTGCATCAATGTGAGAATTGTTTTCACATCCTTGATATGGCATTTTTAAAATTTTTTTGTAAAGACTTCTCGTGGAATAGATTGTGAAAATGTCAACATTGTGGTGAACATGGATGTCCCTCGTGATTCTGAGACATACCTCCACCGGATTGGACGAGCAGGCAGATTTGGTAAGTCAGTTGTCACTTTGTGTATGCAGCAAAGCTTCTTAAATGCTCACAGGTTCCAGGTCTTCCTTAGCATGACGACTGTCTACTACATGTAGGGACTAATCGGCTGCACTAATGGCTGGCCCTCAGGGACTGATCATGGACTTCACTGGAAACAAAGGACTGCTCATAGTCTAAATAAACACAATATACAAATTTGCCTCACCATTCCAATATGTTATTTTGCAGACAGTCAATAGTCTAACGAATTGCTAATTAAAACTGGATCTTTGGGAGTGTTTTATTTTAAATAAGGAGTTGATAAACATTTTTGGCATTTGTCTTCCACTTTGTTTTTTAACATACATAGGTACACATGGTGTTGCCGTGACCTTCGTGGCCAGTGGAGATGAGGAAAAATTATTCAGGAGAATAGAGGAGAATATTGGTACAACTACAATTGAGGCTTTGCCAGGTAGAAAATCTTGTCCTGTTGCTTTTAACCCGTCAATCCCCCATCAGTGATCAGGGCAGAATTTCTCCCTACAATATCCATACAATGTCAAGCAGACAAGTGATGAGAATAATGAAAAATGTTAGTCAGGGGATTATTATTTGATCCAATACAAAATTCTCCAAATTATAATCATAAGAACAGTATGGCAGACAGTAAGGAGAATTGCTAAATGAGATCTGGGAGTGGAAAGGTTGTAAAAAGAGGAAAAAATAGTGCATGGTGTCACAGTTTTTTTTTAACTATCACCACCCTGTTTTTCCACTTGAAAGGACAGAAAAATTTGTTGATGATGCAGGCTGTATACTTAACCAAGCTTGTTGCAGTTAAGTAGAAAAAAAAGAGATCCTGTCACTAGAGGTCTGTTTAGAACTAGAAAGTGTTGGGTACTTGGTAGGAGTCCGCCAAAATATTGTTGTTTTAATTTGCAAGTATTTTTTTTTGCTCTTTTTTTTAAATATTGTGCACAGTTTGAAGTTGCTTTTCGCCCTAAGAGTGATAAACATGTACTCTCTCCTAACAGTATACATGCTTACATACATGGGTTAGTTGACAACTCACCAAGGGGCTTTTCAGGGCCATTCTTACAACACTGTGCTGGGGACTTTACCAGACTCCTTTTTGCAGTTTACAATGAATAAAGGCAAATCTAACAGATGCCCCCAATTTCAAGTAAACAGGCCACGCTTCAACACGGGGAGCTATGTTCCCTACTCTTTGCGATGAGTTTGTGGGTTCTTTAACATCCCCTGTTAACCAGAAGATGCAGGAGACAGGGCCTACGGTTTTTCGTCCTTATCCAAGAAGACTAGAATGTCTAACCATTTGTAGATATCATAGCAAAGGCAGCACATTCTCCTCAGTTATTTTAAGACCCCAGGGGTTTCATTAAGGGCCGGACACCAGCCAAATTGACCAGTTGTAAGGACGGTTTTTCCCACCTGGTTTAACAATCTGGACGAAGGTTTTTCGTATAAAGAAGTTAAGTTCAAAAAGTTTTGTTCGCCTGTGAAAACCAGGTTCCCTCCTGCTGAAAAAATTAATGAAACCCCTGAGACCCTGAGTGTTGGTCTGATTTGGGGCTTGAACCCTCGACCTCCCACACAGTAGTTGGGCCCTCTATAACATGAGCTAACCGGGCAGCAGTATCACCCCTGAATAAAACATCAAGGTCATAAGAATAAAGGAAATGATCACCAACTAAAGAAGCTCTTGATTGTTGAACAAATTCTCCTTGTTAGCACCTTGAGGAATGTATAGAGAATGGAATGGAGAATATGCATACTGATGTTAGGGTGTAAAGGGATAAAATTAAAAAGTGTTTGTGACGTCAGAGTGTTTTCTTATTACATGGATGTTGATGACATGGTATATCTTTTTCAGAGGTCATTCCTCCATCTATAAGTAATGCACTCAATGGAAACGCTGAAGTTGATCTAGCAACTGGACTTCCCCGAGCAACTTCTATTGAAGTTGATATATTGAAAAGTAATTTCAAGCAATCTGAAGTAGCAGAGAACCAAGAGAGGTCAAATGCTAGTGAAGTCTCCAAAGAAAGTAATGAAAATGTCTTGGACGATGTTGAGAAAAAGGCTCCTGTTGAAGATCAAAATAGTTTGTCTGCTGAGAGTCTGGTTGAAAAGACATCTCTGAGCACTGATTTTGAAAGTCAAGTTGATCGGCAAACAATGAAAAATTTCTGGAGTGAGAATGATGTTGACTCATCAAAGGACAGTGAAACAGAGGAAGTGTTGATCGACATTCAAGAGAGGTTCCAAAACTCTTTGTTTCTGGGTCAGAACTGTATCAAGGGGAACATAAGAAGGCAAAAACCTCAAAGTATGCAAACTCAATGCATTTCAGGTGAGCTCCAAGCAAGTGAGACTGATACCATTGGGAAAGTTAATTTCTCAGACATAGCTGAAGTCTCATGCAATGATGTGAAGGAGAATGATTCAGAAATGACAACTAGTCACCACCAATCAGCTAGATTTAACGCATCTGAAGAAAGGCTGTCTGTTGTTGAAGACAATTCAGGTAAATTAGAAGTTGGAATAGACCACAGTTTGCACCTGGAGTCAGAAATTGTCAACAACATGGAAGATGTACTAACTAAAGCCAGCCAAGAAAGTGACCTTCACTGCAGCCAACAAGGAAACACAGATGGAATCATCTATCAGAACTCATTAGAGGGGTCATCCGAATATGAAGGCAAAGATTCCACAGGAACACCAAGTTCAGATGAAGATATATCTGGTAGCTGTAATAACAGTCAAGAAAGTTCTAATTGCCTGGAATTTGATGCCTCTGAGGAAGAAGAGGGATTGGGTTTTGTGTGTTCTATGCCTTCCGTGGATGAATTTGAGAGAGACTTTGAAAGATACCTGGAATGTGTGTCCAGTCATTTGCAAGAAGATAATGCTTGTAATAACATTCCTGGACCAAGTAAATTGTTAGATGATGATGCAATCAAGAGTGGAATTAATTCATGTGCTACTGAAGAGGACAACCAGAATTACGTGGCTGCTACAGCATATGCGGGATCACAAAATTTTAATACTGTCCCTGGAACATGCTATCAAAGGCTGCCAAAAGATGCAGCCAGTAGCTGCTATTCTTGCTACTGTGGACAGTTTACCGAAGTGCAAAATCCAACCACAAATGAAAAGAATGATTTTCAAGAAAATTCATTCTCTGAAGGACCATCAGATTACTGTCATGGTCGAAATGATTTCCATGACAGATGTTTTCAGCCTGTTGATAGTTTCTACAATTCTATTCATTGTAATAATTATGATCCACACCAACTGTTACCTGGTAATTATCATTACAGACCACCATGCACTTCTGATGCCCAAACACACAGAGACTTTGCCAAGGGTACTTTAGGTCAATTTGCAGATACCTGTAATACTGGAAGTTATGAAGAAGGTCAGTGGAATGCAAGCTGGTATGATGCATATCAAAGACAAACAAGTTGTATCAGGCAATTTGTATCTTTTAGTAGGTCTGTAAAATTATAGTTTAATTAACAATTACAGTTCACAAAATTTTACTGTTAGTTGCTCCCTAATATACAAGTTACAGTGTACCATATCTTTAGAATGAAATGTCACCTGACATTTCTGCAAGTGCTCTAGATTTACAGCACAAATTAAGTTATTAAAATAGTTTCTGTAATTGTGCATTGTACAATTAGCTATTACATTTATTAGAAAATTTCAATTTTTGCCAGATTATTTGCTTTATGTGCATAGGTAAAGAGAGTGACCCAAAAAACTATTTTGCACACTCAAGAAAAAAAAATGATTTGTCCTGTGTCATTGGCAAATCAACACCAACCCTGAAGAGGCCATTAGAATTTACATAAGGATGATTTAGGGAGGAAAAAAAAATGAAATTGAGTTCAGTGAAGGTTAAAGGTCTGGGCTCGGTTGTTCAAAGAGCGGGTAACGCTATCCAACTGGTAAATCGCTATCCAGTGGCTAAGTGTTATTAAAACATACTGCGCTATCCACCAGATAGAGATTTATCCAGTGGATAGCGTTATCCATCCTTCGAACAACGGGGGCCTGGAGATGCTACAGTTGCACAACTTGCATAATTCTTTTCACAAAATATCATAAACGTTTTGTGACAATGTTTGTCTCTGTTTAGGAATTCTTTCCTGGAAAAACAATAAGTTAACCCAAATTCAAACTGGTTCATAAATTTTTTTGAATGATTGCAGATAAAAAAATGCATTATATGAGTAACTTGTGATACCATAATGTAAAAAACAGCTGATTTATCAAATTTCATCTTAAATAATAAATTTTTCACAAGATAATACAGTAAACCCAGTCACTTGATCCTAACAGAAAACTGTGACCCAAGGGTGAAAGTTACAAACACACTTGCCACTACTAAAAATCCATCAAGTTCTTGACTGTTGGTTATTCAATATAAAGAGAAAATAACAGAATAATTGTACAATCCAGAATTCCATTTGGAGTAATAAATAAATAAAAAATACATTCTATAAAGCTTTTCAGTGGTGAATTGCTGATAACAAGTCATTTAAATTCGGTAAGAACAAATGTTTCACATTGGGGCAACTAACCATGAACTGCGAACATTGAAAAACACGACAAAACACAGTGAACAAACAAACTTACACAAAACAATTAAGCAAGAAAAACAAAAGTTTGATCTTGCTTAAAAAAAAACTTGAATTAAAAGGTGAATATCAGTTCCACATTACTCTAAGGCACATAATTTATGTGTATCTGGACATTTCCAAGAACACATCAGCAGCCGGGCTATGTGAGCATCAATTATGAAGCTTTTCCAAAATTTCTGAGTCTCTATTGAAGGTACACTGTCTTGAAAATGTAAGCTACTTGTTTTGTTATGAGAGAAAATGAAAACAACAGTTTTGGAATATAATGACTAAGAAATATTTCTTCTAATTATTTATACCATTGAACTAGACTACAGTCCCTCCTTTACAGCAAATTCTGTCTTGCAAGTAAAAAAAAATCAGTAATTAAACGAAAAATAATTTGAGTGTGCAACACAGAATTCTTAGGAGTACAGCGGCAAAGTATTTTGCTTAGTCTGTTACAGTAGTTTCTACTTGTCATGCACCTCACTTCAAGAGGTCAGTGTGACACGCTTACATTTATTTTTTTCAATTAATTTTTTTTTGGCTTGCAGGACAGATTTCACCGGAAAGCAGGGGTGCTTATTGTCTACCGTCAAACTGATGAAAGCAATTCAAATTTGCCATGTGTACACCCAAATTTTCCCAATATCTGATTTCAGCTATATCTGGTTAAGTCTGAATGATGCCAAATCCCTTTGCAAAACAGCTGCAGTTTTGACTGCACTTGATTACTTTATTCATTAAATATCCAAATTCTCCAGCTTGAGACTTTTTAACAGGGCTGCAAATTGTTCAACCACAGCTGCACCACTTTGAGTATACACTTCTTGATTCTAAAATCACACCATCATCCATCATGCTGGCTTGAAGCTGAGAGCCATTCTCTTAACGACCTTTCAATTCTCTTGCCACCCGCAAGAACGCATTTTCAATATTTGTTGCATCCTGCAAGTCAGTATACAAAGAGGACTTAAGGCCATTTACACAGCAGAAAAATCGGGTGTGGACGTGTCAAAAAAAGGAGTACAGACTGCATCATTTTAGCTGTTTACACAGGTGATGTTTTATCACGGGTCGGACAAAAAGAGGCATAAGGACCAGGTTAGCAAGGTTGCGTTTACACTGCAGTTTTTGGGGGACCAGACCAATTTCTTGCATGAGACTACAGTATTTGGTACAGCTGTGTGCTGTTATCGAACATGTGTAATTCTTGTAAACAAAATGTCGATGCTTGATGCTGAGTTATGGGTACAGACCCATGTTTTTTCTGGTTTTGGGGCCATACACGTCTATGGCCCCAAAACCAGAAAAGACATGGGTCCATACCCATCCCCCAAAACATGGTACGGATTGTTTACACAGGCAAAAATATGAGGTCAGTACTCCTTTTTTGACACATCCGTACCCTATTTTTCTGCCGTGTAAACGGCCTTTTAGTCCCTACAAATTTCAAAAAGGCTATCTTTTTTGGTTATAAGCATCACAGCCCCAGGAGACAGGGAAGTAGATATTAAAAAACCCTCGTTTGAGGCCAACATGTCTCAAAGGGGTTTTATTCAGAACCAAGGCTTTTGACCTAGTGGTATATACTGGGCATTGGCCAACTGTCAGGAAAACCTTGTGGGGGAGGGGGAGGGGAGAAGAGGGAGGAAGAGGCACTACTCAGGGGTCAACTCAGTGTCACATGAGCTAAAAAAAAAATTTAAACAAAATTGATGTTAGTGCCCTGCAACAGACATCTGTAAGAGGAGTGGCTACCTTTTTACTAACAGCATACAAAACTCTTAAATTCACCGCAATGTGTTTCATTTTGTTTTTGAAGCTGAAACTGTAAGGCGGGGATAAGTTTTTGAATTGTCCAAGAGGCACTTCATTTAAAATTTAACATAATAATATTTTATATACATAGATATATATATATTTATATACATAGATATATATATATTTTATATATACAATTATTTTCCTAAATAATTGTTTACAAAGCTCCATGATTGTAGAGCACTCTCCGATTCAAGGATAAGGTCTTTTACGTTTATTTTATATATATACATTTAACAATTATTCAACGAGTGTGCATTGGATATGAGATGATAGATAGCCAACGAGGAGTGTAGCGCCGAGTTGGCTACAATCATCTCATATCCAACAAGGGCGAATGGAATAACTGTTTT